TGTGTGTGTGTGTGTGTGTGTGTGTGTGTGTGTGTGTGTGTGTGTGTCAGCAAGGCTGTTCAAGGAATGTGCATGAGGGGAGATAAGTTACGTCCCATCAAAGTTCTTGCGGTTCCTGTTTATCACCACTAGAGGGAGGCAGAGGCTGTATATTTCTCATGATCCTCAATATGATCGTGAAGGACAGAGATGTACACATCATGTTGGTGTGTACAAAAGTTTTGTTACAGCTGTGTTTGATCCGTCAGGGAAAGGAGGAGTTTGAGAAGAACCAAAGACAGCTGCTGGAGAAAGGCAACATCATCAGACACAAGACACAACTGGAGCAGCAACAGGTACCCGTCTGTCTCTCCGTCTGTCTGTGTCTCTCTCAGTCCATTACTCTCACTTTCTTTGTTCTGTGATGTGATTGTTTGTGTGAGAGAGAGAGAAAACGAGTGGCCGTTTAGGCCATAATTAGAAGTGAAGCTGCTGTAAACAATGCTGGGCCACTAGGGGGCCGACCAAAAACAAGCTGACAGAAACATATTAAGCGTGGGGGGGGGGGTCCTAGCACAGGAAATAAAACAAATGTTAACCACTTAATTTGTTGCATTCTGGCAAATTTTCCTGCACCAATATCTGATGGAAATGTCTTCATTTATTGTAAAGAAAAACCCTAAATTCAAAATATAAAAATAGAATGGAACATAATGCAGTTAGTCTCTCAGTCCTTCTGTATTCATTCTATAAACTTCTCTCATTTGATGATAGACTCTCCCTCCTCTTTTGTCTTTATACTTTTTTTAAAATGTGAACGTGCGGTGACCAACGCCGACTTGACTATAAAAATTAGTATTTTCCCCAACAACAGCAAGATCCGCAGATGAATGATCCTCGAGGTCCTCATTTTCTGTCGTTGGACCGGGAACGACTCCTTGACCGCGAGATGGATCTTGGGCACTTCTTGTCTCTGGAGATGATTATTTAAATTCATGTATAAATGTATGGACTTTAATAGCTCACAGAGGGTCAGCAAGATGATCCACATTTTTTTGCACATTCAAAACAGCTCCCCCATATCTCCCTGTTTTCTGAGGAGTCTGAATATTTAGTAATATTGAAAGAATAAAGTCGTAATTAGAGCTGTTAGTATAAGGATGGTGTCTTCCTCACTCAGACAATAGTGTTTATTTTATTTCTTTTAATAAAAAATGTTGCCAGACACATGTCGTAGTTGCTGGATATTTGCAGGGATATGACATGTTACGTCCCTAGACGCTTTGTCTACATTCAGTAGTTGCTTTCAAGGGTTGCCAGATTTGGCAAATCATGTTTTCATCTAAATGTTCATTGATCGGTACGGTACCTCTCTGACTGGCCTGAATGAGTTGTGGATTCATCCAGCGATTATCTTTCTGATTGATTGTGTCGTCTATAAAATGACTTGTTTCGGGTAAAACCAAAAGATATTACAGTTGGAATCATAGCATTATGATAAAGCATTGACGGTCTCCTTCCTCTTCCTCCAGATCAAACAGTTTGAGCGACTCGAGCAGGAAGTCAGCCGGCCGATCAACAACGACATGACAGGCTGGGTCCCGTCCCCGCACCCCCCTCCGGCCAACCAGCAGGCCCAGAACGGCTCCGGGGGCCCGCCTTGCTCCAAGCTAGGCCACGGCGACCGTCAGCTCCTCCTCTTCTACCAGGAGCAGTGCGAGCAGAACATCACCGCGGTGACCAACGCCATCGACGCCTTCTTCACCGCCGTCAACTCCAACCAGCCGCCCAAGATCTTCGTCGCGCACAGCAAGTTCGTCATCCTCAGTGCGCACAAGCTGGTGTTCATCGGCGACACGCTGTCGCGCCAGGCCAAGTCGCCTGACGTGAGAGCGCACGTGGCCCAGAGCAGCAACGCCCTCTGCGAAAAACTCAAGGACATCGTGGTCAGCACGAAGACGGCGGCGCTCCAGTATCCTTCCCCCGGAGCGGCCAGGGAGATGACTGAGAGGGTGAGGGAGCTGGCAGGGTGCACGCAGCAGTTCAGGATGGTGCTGGGACAGCTGCTGGTCATGTAGGGGAGTGAAGGGGGGCACGGGGGGAGGAAAAGAAACCAAACAGTGACACAACTGAGATGACCCAGGAGCACGGGGGGCAGTAAATCCTCCCCGCGACAAGGGCTGGATGCCCCTGCAGCACGGGGGGAGGGAGGACCTGGAGCCCCCTGCGGGAAACCCTGTACACCCCTCCAGTTTGAGGTTGGAGACCCCACATCCACCCCACCTTTCACTGGGACCACCCCTCCCTCGTCCCTCCTTCCTTCCGCACGCTTTTTATTCTAGACAAACTAAAAGGAACGTTTTATCTTCAGCGGGCTGTAAAATAATCACTGTAAATATTTAAGTTACTTATTTAGTCAGAAAACCAGAAATAAAAAAAGACTCAAGAACTTTCAGTGTATATATATGTATATATACATATATATACACATATATAAATATATGGTTCTTTTTTGAAGAAGAAAGAAAAGTAAATAAATGTAGTTTTTAGACAATATCAATAATTATTATTATTGCTATACTGTATAATTCTGGTTCTGATTGTTGATCCTTGTATCATTGTTATGGATGTGTAAATTCCAGATGATATGTATGACTGTATGTTGTAGTACATCTATGCTCTTCTCCATCCCTGACAAAGGCACACTTTCCGAAAAAGCACTGGAGCGCGCGCGCGCACACACACACACACACACACACACACACACACACACACAC